TCATATGTAATCTGTTCGGAGAAGCAACAGCCTTATAAAGGGTTGCAGAATTGGAATGCTGCCCTCAAACGTGATTTATAAAAAACATTGATTTATAGATGACTAAGATACAACATCGTGTAATGCTTTGCAGATCTTAAATAAAAATGTTTGAGTGATCACCTATCAAGGCGTGTGAATTTAATTGTGGTGGGATAACAAATGCGAACCATCCAAAAGGTAGCCTGTCCCTGAGTATCAGGCGTTTCTGGGGAAAAGGGGAAGGATGGAATCCCCCCTCCCCCATCTCAAATCTCCTCTCCCCTATCCCCTTAGGAAGGCCTGATACTCAGGCTATCCAAAAGGCGGCGCGGCACGTGGGAATGGATTTAATGTCGGCAAACAGTTTTGACTTTGAAAACAATACAAGAAAAAGAGGAAAGGAGACAAACTCCCTTTTTGCGACCAAGTGCGAAACAAAATAAAAGAAAGCCTCAAAAATGAAGAACGAGGATTTCTTTTACATTTCAGTTCAAATTTATGAGCAAAGAATATATAAATGATTTTTTGAAGAGAAATTTATCAAAAAGGCAAGCCAAGTACGTTTTATTCCGCGAGGTTCAATCCCCTTTTGCCGTCGTGGTTGTTACAATGTAAAATATGTAAAAACGTTTTTGCAAAATGTAACAGCTGAAATGTTACAACTTTTGAAGCAAAATGTACAGCCATTAAAAGCAAAATGTTACAGTTTTTAGACGCAAAAAGGAACAAACTTTTTAACACGAAATTTATCAACGAAAAATATGTTAATCTTTTTACAAAAAAAGTCTTTTTGCGATTTTCTCATATTTATTTGACTATACTCGAGGGTTAATAAGAGGTCTTAATTATAGGTCTTAATCGAGGTCTTCCAAAATTCCGTAGAACGTCCTTCAAGGTAAACGCACCAGTGAACGAGAACTCCCAAAACTGGAATCAGTACCGATTGAGTTAGACCCGAATGAGATCACTGCTGGCTCGCTCTACCCACTGGCGAGCAACATGCAGCTATCCGACGCACGGCATCGATTTCAGAGACTACCTCCGTGGACACTTCAAGGACTTTAAAATCGTTGATTATATTGGGGGAGGCCAATGCAAGAAAGTGGAATACATCAACATCCGGGGACACGTAGGCAAGAATCTGACGGTCCCTTTTTGGCAGTTTCGTGATCAAAGCCTGCATATTGACAGTCCATCCACCTACTGTCAGTTTAAAGCGGCGAGCTCTGGCGCAGTGTCAAGTGAAGACAACTTTGGGTGGTATTATAATAGTAGATACAACCCAAAGTTTCGATGCACAAAGGATACCAAGTCCACTACCCAGTGGTGGTTTGGAGCTCATCTCTAGTCCTTTTGGCGACAAAACAGGCTGCATTCTAGTTATAAATGCCCTGAAAGAAATCATCATAAGTATTAATTAAAAACTGATTAAAGTAATCCCCTGGGACAGAACGTAACAGAGCTATTTTACAGATTGATAAAATTAGAATTAATAAAGTAAGCAATGATGTCATAAAATAAAATTACGCAGGCCAATAAAAGATTGATTATGATATTTCCTTTTTGAATTAACTGGCTGAATCCCGTAATTAATTGTTCACAGACTGCATGCTCCGCATTCAAATGAGTTACAATTCAAAGTTCATAGAGTTCGCTCTCACATCTTCGGCTCCTGCTAACATTTTTCTCTTTAAGTGCGTAAAATCCCTTGAAATTGGGGCCGGGCGATAGAACAATTCTAGAATCCAACCAACATGAATCTTATGCAAGGCTTAGTAGTATAAGTATAAAGAATACCCCCCGCCCCTCCCCCCTTTTGTTATCGAAATAACACCCTAAGGTCCACTAACAGTAGACGCCTGAAAAACACATAGAGTCGACAATAAGGCAAGAGAAAAATATCAAATGCAGTCGACTTCCGATAACTCCAACACTCCAGGGAAATCGGAAAAAATTTGAGTTATTGAGAGTTCGAAGCAAATAAGCGGAAACTGAAGGGAACAAGGAACTGGGTTGGGGAAGGATTATGCAAGTATCATGCGCAAAAGATTACGATTAATTATTTCTTCTTGAAGAACTGCTCCTGACGTCAGGAAAGAAAGTAAACCAGTAAAAGAAGATATTTTCGAATGGATGCGGTAAGGCTTGTCTCTCCAGTTAAGTTGCCTTAATAGATTTTCCGTAAAATGGCTGAAAGAGAAACCGTAGCCAACGTGACTATCTTAAATTTGCCAAATCAATTCAAATCACCTCAAATCAAAATCTTAATAACTAAAAGTAGCTAACTCGCAATAGAGCAAACATTACTTACATGCCAGTTTTTGGTAGTGTTCAAGCCAAGAGAAGCTAAGAGAAGTGCGATTAGACAGTTTTCTTTTTTCTAGGTATCTGGGTCTTGAATAATGTTGTGTAGACACAGTTTATATATAATTCTTGCTATTATAAATTATGGCGCATCACGTAATTAGAAATATAACTT